TCTCATGAATCTCGCATAGAACCTACCCCACCATGGGGCATGAGGGACAATAAACTGCCACGTTATTTCATGTAGAGCAGCGAAATTTTTGAAGTCCGAATCAACCAAAATTTGTGAAAAACCTTTCAAAATGATGTCTGTGGTCTTAAAACTCTTTACATTATCAAATATGATGACCTTACAATTCCCCTTCTTGCCAAAAAACGTCTTAAGGACAAAATAAAACTTTTCGTCGACATAGCAGTAATTAGTTCGATATGAAGTGATCTAGTAACTTCACATGTGAATAAGGCTATGTATGATCTTTGTTGAGTGTCCTTTTTTGGTATAAAGGAAGGCTGGATCAGTGAAATCAACTACAGATACAGTAAATGGGAGATTTTCCAAGGCAATTGAGCTGTTATCTGTTTAGTAGGTTTTACAGAGTATCTTCTACAAATGTGACAATTTTTAAAGCCTTCTTTACAACTTGTATACCCTTTGGAATCCAAAACCTGTTTCTAATTTTGGCAAGTGTCGTAAATGGTAAATTTTGTTATGTTCGCTTAAAATTAACAACTTAGTGAATTTCGACTGTTTTGGTAATATAACGGGATGGATTTCATCAATGGCAAATCCGCTTTATTCAAGCCTACCTCTTACGCTCAAAATACCGTTTTAATCTAAAAATGCGGCTAGCTTATAAAGAGACGATTCCTTACTAATTTGTGTAGCACATTTAAGGCATTCTAATTCAGAAGAGTACACAAGTCTTTGTTCATACTTTATACAGTCCTGTTCTGCCTTCAAGAGTTCAACTGCAGTGTAAGGTCCCACTTTTACATGTTCTTTTCTAAGTTTACCAAAGAATCTTTTAATTAATACCGTAAATTGCAATACCTCAGTTAGGTTCCTATAGTTATTCAAATCTAAAATAAACTGAGAATTCTCCCCTGCACATTTATTTTGAGCTATAGTTTAAAATTCCTTTCTCAACTATAAAATCTCTGTGAGATTCTGAATTTTAATCTTGTCAGGCCAAACCTCACAACGGTGACTCAACCAAAGTGGTCCATGCCATCACAAAGGATCTCTAGCTAAGTTCGAGGTTGAAATACCCCTAGAAAGGATATCCGCAGAATTTTCCTTTCCAGGACAATAATACCATTTGTTAGGATCGGTCAAATTTTGAATTTCTTCTATCCTGTTCTTCACAAAGGGTTTGTATTTACAGGCTTTACTCTTTACCCAAAATAGGCATATTTTGAAATCGGTCCAGAAGTAGCAGTTTACATCAAATTTCAAACATTTACTTACATGTTTAGCAAGCCTAGAAGATAACAAACATGCTAACAGTTCCTGAAAAGTGATAGATTTGATAAGGGCGACTCTATCCTTGGAACATTCAAAACTAGTAATAACTCTATTGTCTCGAGTGACTGCTCTCAAATATATCACTGAACCGTATGCCGTCATAGATGCATCTGAAAAAGAATGAATATCAAATGAAATAAAATCACATAAATTGAATTCAGAAGAATAATATCTAGGAACTGCGAAGTTATTCAAATGTTCAACTTCGCTGCTCCACAACTGCCACTTGTAGTCCAGTGAAGACGGGAGTTCATCATCCCAGTCCACGCCAGCTGTCCACAGCTCTTCAAGTAATAGCTTAAGTGGAACTATGAAAGGTCCGATGAATCCATTTGGGTCAAAGATATGACCCAATATTTGCAAGACGAAGCGCTTTGTACTGGATCTGTTGGAAAGAACATTCATCAAATGTTTTATGTCGCAAAACATCAAGTCCTTGTCTGTAATCCAGGCCATTCCTAGAACTTTCGAAGGCATACTATATATAGTGATAGCTTCTTCGATATCACGAGTTTCTGTAACATCTCTTTTCAACAGGTTGGGAAGTTCGGCAGAATTAGTCTGCCATTTCCTTTGAATTAGCACTGGTCAGGAATTCTTAGCGGAGTAGAAATTTACGGCGATTGGGGCTTCAAAATTTCTGTAGGTATATTGTTTTTACTGGCTAAGTGTTGCGTGCGAAGAAGGAACATGTATATGAAATGTTCTCTCCCTTGCAGTAATGGAACGATGTAAAAAATCCATCAGCCCCTTCAAATTATTAGTGCTCCAGATTTGATTTTTGCTGAATCCCAAAACGAGATCGCTGGGAAAAAGTTTCAAAATAACAACACAAAACATTACGCTATAATTTTCTGGTTTTATACCTAAATTCTCAAGATAACGAATTTGAGTTTGGAACTTAAAATACAGATTTCTCAACTCTTGTCAAGTAAAAATGTTCTTTAACGGTGTCATGTTCAAAAGTTTAGACATATGGGCATTGACTGACACGTCCTTCCTTCCAAAGGTATCTTGGATTAATTTAAGAGCCGACTTATAGTTGTCTGAGGTAATAGCGAAATCTTTAATGCAAGAGAAAGCTTTGTTTCCAAGGTAACTAAACAAATAAGAAAATTTTTCAACATCTGAAAGGGATTTTGTCAGTAGAATTTTCGAATTGATTCCAGAAATTTAAATACTCAGATGGGTCCCCGTAATACGTATGAACTTTCAGTTTGGGTAACTTCGCGTTTATATTTGGTTTACTTTGGTTTGTTATGGGTTTTACACATGCGGGTTCTTGTACAGGTGAAGATTGCAACGATTTTATTATATTTCTTAGTTTTACTGAGTTAAATATAATTACTTCATTACATTCATCAATTCTCTCTCTTTCCGATTGCATTACTGCATCATCTAAAAGATCTTCGACTTTATTGGCAATAGATTTGAGCTTTACAAAACAGATATTAATTTTACTCCAGGTGGCTCATACAATTTCCCAAAATGATGTACTAATATTTAAAAAATTATGTCCGAATAAACAATTAAAACACAACTTCAAATCTTTCGAACAGCCATTTTTATTTATTTTTAAGTAAGTAATAGAAGTAGTAATAGAAAGTAACAGAAGTAGTAATAGAAAAACTGGTAACCATGGTAACGCTTTGCGACTGCGCAGATAGTCTCACAGCCAATACAAAAGTCTCACAGCACAAAGACAAAAATTTTAAACATTAAAAAAAAATTAATTCATTTACTTATCTAACCATGCTGTTATTCGAGATGACAAGGTCAGCAGCCGTCTGCGAATTGTATTTGACAGTGCTGCTCATTGAGAAGGATAATTTCACTAAATGACTGTCTCCACACTGGTGCGAACTTATATCCTAATTTGTTTGAAATGTTATTAAAATTTAGACAAAATTCTGCAGCTTATACATCGGACATACAGCGAGCCTTCCTGCAAATTCAAATCGACCCAAAAGATCGTCGCTATACTAAATTGTTCTGGATTGATGATCTACGTTCAAGTGAATTTATTATGCTGAATTTTACTCGTGTTTTGTTTGGACTTACATCAAGTTCTTACCTGTTCGCAGCTGCACTGAAATTTCATTTTGAAAATTATCGAAATTTGTATCTAGAAACCTATGAATTGCTACTAAAGTTTTTCTACTAAATTCTAAAATTAACGATTTTGTTGCTGGAGCTTATGAAGTAGAGACAGCTCTGAAAACCAGCATCGAAAGCACTGAAATTCTTAGGACAGCTGAAATGGTGCTAAGAAAATGGCAGACTAATTCTATCGAACTTTGCAACCTATGGAAGGGAGATGGTATAGAAACTCGTAATACCGAAGAAGCCAACATTGGATATAGTATGCCATCGAAAGTTCTAGGAATAGCCAGGATACAGACAAGGACTTGATGTTTTTCGATATAAAAAATTTGATGAATATTCTTTCCAACAGATCCAAAACAAAGCGCTTCGTCTTGCAAATATTGGATCGTATCTTTGACCTAATTGGATTCATCGGACCTTTCATAGTTCGACTTGAGCCATAACTTCAAGAGCTGTAGGCAACGTCGCAGTTCCTAAATATTATTTTTCTGAAGTCAATTCTTTTGACTTTGAATTTAACTTTTTAATATTAAAGAATGCATCACTTTTGTTTTTACTTTTAAGTTTGAAGCTGAGACTGTCGGGGAATGCTTCTTGAAAAGTGAGGATCCCGTTTAGCTGTGTTTGAAATTTTTGTAGTATTTGTGCTGCGATGCGCTAGCACATCGTCTGTGAGACTATCTGAGCAGTCGCAAAGCGTTATTATGGTTACCAGTTTTTGCTTTACCATTGTATTCTTTAAAAATAAAAGAAAATGGCTGTTCTAAAGATTTGAACTTGTGTTTTAATTGTTTATTCGGACAACATTTTTTAATATTGGTATAAAAACCATATAAAAACTCTTAAATAGTTATAAAAATTCTTAAAATAATTCTTAAAATAATTATTTAATTGCGTATATAAAGGAAAATATGCAGACTATGCTCTTTTGTCACTTCCTTTATAGCTTTGAATAAATAACTATTTAAGTCGAACTGCATTATTCAAAACTTGCACTGAACAAGGTAAAATTAGTACCTTGCTTTTACAGCAAATTGATGGAAGTAGAGTATATTTTTCCCCTCCTGCTTTTCATGTAATTTAAAAAAAAACGCATTATTTATGGGATGATTTAACATTTAACATCGCCTGCCCTACTATATATGAATTGGAAAGGTTAATATCTGACGAATTTGGAGACGAGCAGAGAAGCTCGTCATCGTTTGCTACTTTGGACGAAGAACTGGGTACCGTGTTACATGACAAAAAAGATCTCATTGTATCTGTATTTATGATAAGAAGCGTGGATATTTAAATTTCAATTTTATCTATTACGGTGAATATATGTTAATTATTTTTTATCGTATAATAATCCTTAGCCTGATTCTTTTATACTTTCCTTTTACATTATTCAGAACACCAATAACAGTTATCTGCTGTATACTAAATTCAATAACATGTTCAGTTTAAATTTTATGAGTGAATATTCTTCAGAACTTTTAGTAATAAATTTAATACATTCAAACACTTCCAGTTATTTCCTTTTACTCTGGTCGCTATAGGGAGTAACATTTTTAGCTTTTGGTAATGGTGCACCAGACATCTTTTCATCAGTAGCAGGAACTGAGCAAGCTCGACCGGAACTAGTCATAGGTACTCTCTTTGGTAAGTAATAAATTTTATATGTGATATGTTCATGTTTGAGTTATTGCTTAATTACTCAGATCTAAATACTCAAGTACACTTATTTTTGAAATTTTTGAGATCCTTATTGATTTTTATTTCCATATTCATTACATACTTTTTAACGCAGTACAGACCTACTGAATGGTCCTTCCTGATGATCAGCAAATTTTTATTACTGCAGCAATGCCTTAAAAACTGGTGTAGGAGGACCTCACCCGTTTCCTGTTACGCTGACTTTCCGGTTACATATTCTTTGCGTCGACAATTTGCATCCTTATAAAGCTATTTCACTTCCGGATAATCAGTTATAGGCATCTATCTGTTGTACACGTTTTTTATTAGTGCATTTCAGAAGGTCATATATTAAATCAGATATTAAAGATAGTTTTCTATTCAGGCGCACCTGTTACGATACGTAGCATGCACATTTACACTCTGTATCTTACTCGGGCACAGGGATATATGTACCTTCGTTTACTTCATATAATGCTGTGGATTGGAATAGACGGAATATTTTAGAAAAGAATTGTTATTTCAATTTGTTTAATCCTATCATTTTGCTGTTTAAAAACAATTAAAAGCATCAGACATCCATTTTGGATAATACGCATAAAATGTATATTTACATCGGCTAATATATAAAATTAATCCTCGAAACATGCGTAAGCACACACATAAATGTATGTATATAATATATAGGCTATTCTTAAACGATTCTAAAGTACTAAATGACGCTTGAATGGCTAGTTGTAGACACATTAATCAAATTTAAGAAATGAATCTAATAAAATAGGCTTTCAAAGTACGACAGTTTTGGCCTCGTGGCATTTTTTAGTAAAAATATGCAGAATTTAAAATTTTATATGGGTCCTTTACTAAGAATGTTCAAGTTAGTAGATTGTTTCTTTTTCTCCTGAAGGCCTTCTAGGAAGGAAAGTCTTATTTACAGTACATAGAACTGGTCTGGAAAAAAATATTGCTAAAAATTGTACTTTTGTTAACTTTTTAAGGGTTAGTTTTGTATATCGTGTAGAGGGTAAATTTTAATATTAAATGGTTTTTCACTTGAAAGTGACTGATTTTAGATCTAATAAAAATTCGCTAATCGAATTTGGATAATTAAAATTTTGGCTGTGTATGAGTATGTATGTACGGAGTTTTAAAATATTCACATAAACGGTTGGCTGTGGACTCTGTGAGACAGGTTTTCAGGCATATGACAGTTTTTCACACACAAAATATTACAGTTTTTAAAAACAAGAGTTTTTATATTCTATAATTGCCCAATATAAAAATTACGCCATTTCTTGTCCTATCAAAATTCCTTTAAACATTTCTATTTCGTAATATGCAAAAACTTGTCTTAAAAGAAAATTTTCAAAATTCCATGGTTTGCTACTATTATTACTAAAAAGAAATGGCAATATCTCATTTTTAGTGGCCGTCTAAAAATTAAATCCTGTTGGTCGAAAAACTTTAAATTTTAGTACTTCTTTAAAAGTAAAATTAAAACTCCTGCTCCTCGAATCACGCTTTTCTGACGTAAAAATTATCTTTAAAGATTTGCAGTCTAGAACCAAGCTTTCAAGCTGCAGTTAGCCATGCAATCATTTTAAAGCACATGTGTAAAAGTGTGCGGATGCACGGTCTGTGTGTATTCATTCACCTGTTAGGAAATAAAGTGAATTTTACACGTTTGATGAATCTAAAATCTATTAGCTGCAGAAGTGGTGATTTCAAGTTGATCCTAAAACTGTGAAACTGAATTAACGTAGATAAAAACATAATGCTCAGCAAATTAATTGAGCACTTTTGCATTTGACTAATGATAGCTGTGGTTATTCTTCGTTCTGAGCTCTCGAAAATCATTATAAAAGGATTTACGGTTACTAACTTGGAAGTGGAAACGGAAAAAAGTACAAATATTGTAGAAATACAAATTGTTTTTTCATTTCATTCTGTCAGAATTTAATTAAGTTTTACAACAACCATATTTCAAAAGATTCCACCATCTAGTGTTTGGTAATTAATCTGTGGATTTAGTTAGCTTTAGAGAATATCAAATAGATTTAAAAAATATTGTTTTTATTTGTCTTAGAAGAATAAATATCTTATTATTTCAATTTGACTTTAAAGTATCTTATATATATAAATACCATGCTTGCAGTATTTTGAGAAAAACGAAGTTTTAGGAGTATTGGGTCACTGATTTAATCTAAGAAGAAAAACTGCCGGACAGAAGAAAACAAGGATAGCAAGGAATTATCAAGCACATTTGCTAATATTAACACATTTCTTCTATGAATTATGTAGACAAGATAACATGGCATTTGCATCGAAAATAAACATTTCCCTCCAGAATTAAAATAAGCATTTTTTCTCTCCTTTTCATGAATTAAAAAAAATGTAGACTTTTGCTAACGTAGTAATAATTACTTTTGATAGAATTTACCTCTCTCCCTCCCGTAAATTCGTAGATAACAATAAATACAATTGCATAACAGTTGCAATCAGCTTTCGATTAATCAAGGTAATACGGGGCATTATGGCCATGTTTAATCCAAAATTATGATAAATCCGAGCGCAGTTGAAGGGAAAGAGAACAGGAAAATTAAATAAGCCGTATTGTAACTAATAGAAAAATATAATTACCGATTTCCTGTATTTTTGAGCATTTTAATTTGGAGAATAACTTCTTTTGATCTCGTAAATTAAATCAGTATGCAAAGCAAAAAAATGACACTTCAAATGATGAGCGCCGAAAACATCGCGATAAAACAATGCAAGGTGAAAACATCATCAGGCAAGATATCGTGGGAGAAAAGAGAGCAAAGAGAAAACATCGCAGTTTAAAACATCGTGGCATAAAACATCGTCGTAGAAAATAGAGTGACTCAAAAACTTCGCAGGTTTTAAAGCATTGTTGTAGAAAATATCGTTGCAAAAAAATAATTCGCCTACAAATCCTCGCATGATGGTGATATAACATACACGCATTTTCAGACTTTAAATGTTTCAAATGTAAGTTCGTACTATCAATCCAGCTTCATAAAAGTCATTACTACTAAGCCAAATTTATAAAAGAAATTATTAAGCTATGACCTTTAATATTTTGTAGAGTCATTAGGTTATTTTGAAGCAGGAGATATGAAAAATGAGCAATGCCCTCACCAGGACTCGAACCTGGACCTCTTGAAGACGCGCGGAGTGTGCTAACCGTTACACCACAAAGGCATACTGGAATGAGGGAGAAAATACTGCCGCTTTTAAAGGGCGAATGGGAATTAGGGGACACAATCCTCAAATCATGGTAGTAAATAGTTTTATGGATTACATTCTTCGCCTAGTCAGGTGCTGGCACTACATGGCAAATTCACCGTCAAAACAGTTCCGAGTGTTCAGCCCCCTTCCCCGCACCTAGGAGAGAACTGGCATTAGCAGCCATACGTCGACGCTGGTCATCTATTTGCTACATACCAGTCGCTCGGGCTGCCCGTCGCAGAGGAACATTACCCAGCAATCGCAGGGCACCACCCCTGGGCTACAAGAGTCAACTGCTCTAGGACGCGCCAGACCCACGGGCCGGCCAATAAGTGACCTTTCCGGAACTCCAGAACCACTAGGTTCGTAATTTGTATATTGTTGTTTTCTTATGTTGTTTTCCCCGTGGCCAAGACTGTCTAGGTACAGATCCTACCCAGTAGTGACGAATTATGGTCCACCACCTTTTAGTTCGGGCGCCACTGTAGAGTTATAAGTTTTATTTTAAAGCAAGAGCTGGAAGGAGGGAGAAAATGCCTTATCTGCACAAGTTAATAATTAGCAATAACTGTTATACTTAGCATTAGTCAAATAGACATAAAATTCATGCATTCAATATTACTATCATGAGATAATTTGTACATGCTTTACTTTTTACCAAGATATTTTGCATGATGATGTTTAAAAATTGCCACTTAAAAAAATGTTTAAAATTTATACCACGATGTTTTTCCTCTTGCTTTCTTCCTACCATATTTTCTACGACGATGCAATTTCTACGATATTTTCTACGACGACGATACTCCTTATGTTGTTTTCTCCACCAAACATGTCTATCGGCTATTTTCCGCTTAACCCTTCAGAGAAAAAAGAACAATGTTTTGCTTACATTATTCTTGTCTTTCGACAGCAGTCAATATCAAATGAAGATTAATGGCTGCATACTTGATTTATTTTTATGACTGAACAATTTAATTTAAACGAGTGATTTAACAATGTGAATATATTCAGGATTATGCTCAATTAAATTATGTACTGCTGTTGGTAAAAGGAGCTGCCAAGTACCTGCTATCGTTGTTATTATTCCGTGATTTTTTTACATTTTCTTTTTTCATTTTTCTTCAGACAGATTTTTTTTAATATTTTTTTTTACATTGGTACATCGGAATAGTAAATTCTCCTTCGTTCCGCTATAAACAAACTTAATTTATTTTTTAGATAGGGCCCGGTTCATGCATCTCTGGTTAATAGAGAAATAATTGTATATGGGTAAAATATCATGGCATAATTTTTAATTTAATGTGAGAAAATAAGACAGAAAGTAAACCACGTATCTTTCAGGTGCCGGTGTTTTTGTTACTTCAGTGGTTGCAGGTTCCATAATTGCTTCAAAACCGTTCAAGATAATGGAAAGACCATTTCTCAGAGATATTATATTTTATGTATGTGCTGCATTTTGGGCCTTCTTGCGCTTTTATTATGAAATAGTACTCCTATGGCATGCAATAGGTGAGTGTTATTTTCAACATTTTAAAGTATCTTTGAATGTAAATAAAAATGCATTTAATTTTTTCTCTAAAAACTGTAAATTTTTTATTTCAATAAAAGCGTGCAATCTGTTTCTACGGTTATACATTTCAAGGGAATATAAATAAAATAATATAAATAAAGCCTGGTATTAACTGGTTTATTTTGTGCACCAATGTTTTAATTTCTTCTTTATTTTTTTCTTACTTTATTTCTTACATATTCATTAAAAAGTTATTTTCTTAATTTTTTGTTGATAAAATTATTGAATAGATTTTATTGAATTTAGAAAGAAACCATTGCAAATGCTCTGGTTTCCATTAATCTGTTCCAGATATACTATTTATTTAACCTATACTCAGCATGTATAGGCGTTCAGCATGACTTGGTGGTAAAAACCATCTCGTAAAATCCACTTTCGGAATGAGAAATGCGATATCGTTTAATTATTCTTGTCTCTTACGTGATTATTGCATAATAATGATAGTAATAATAATAATAATAATGCCAACGATAAAAGCTATGACATAAAGTATTTTTTTCGGAACAGGGAGCATGAAAAGTCAACTATGACTTCGAATGCCAACTTCGAAACTTTCAATGTCCCCCTTTTCGTTGGGGCGGTTAGTAGTATCAACTGTCAAATTGTTAGATCTGGGCTCGAATCCCGAAGAAGGCATTTGTTTTTACACTTTCCTGTGGGTTTAATATTGATTGCATCTTGTGTTGCACTCTGGGCCACGTTCTTTGTGATAAAACCACTAAATAACCGAAGGGTTCAGCCGTTTCTGAAACATGCTTAGCAAGCAAACAACCGACCATTTTCAAAATAAAAGAGTATTAATTTCTCTAATTAAAACTTGCATGCATTGCAATACTGACATTCAACCTTTTCACGCTGCTTTCCAGCTAGACAGAGGGTGTACACACATTCTTGTAACGATTTTGTTTTTCTCCAGGAATTTAAATTTTAATTTTAAAATACAAACGTAACTAGCATCAAAGAGGAATAAATTTAATTGCCGTCTACAGCATTAAAAATATTTTTTTCTTTAAAATGTCTCTGAAAAATAAACAATGGATCGAAGGCTATCTTCTTGGAACAGAAATACTCTTATTCAGTTACTAAAAATAGATGCGAAAAACATGGTTTTAATATTTCTACACATAAAATAAGTCACATACGTAATATAAAAGGAAAGAAACGTCAAAGTTTACATCTGACCGGGAAAAAAGTCAATGCATACAAAGGTACTTACAGCTCTTATTAAATCTAATGTCGCATTTCATGCTTTAAAGGAAAATTTAGCGCCCCAAAGAGCTATTGCAAAATCTTTAAATATCTCCATGGGAAGTGTGAACAAAATTATAAAATCTGATTTAAAGCTAATCAAAACAAAACAAAGTATGATGTTCATCGCCTAACGCCGAAACAGATTTCTCAGCACAAGCCTATGTGCAAATTGCTGCACAATTGATGAGGCTTGAATATACTTATCTGATTGTAATAGAAAAAATATCGATTTCCTACAGAAAAAGAGGAGAAAAAGACGTAATATGTTGGTTCAGAGAAAACAAGGAAACTTTTTCTAAAGGTTTTATGTTTAGTAGTAGATTTTCTTATAACGGAAAACGTAAGAGAAGGAAAGTAGAAAAAAATGTCAAAATTAAATTGAATTACTATCAGAAATATATTTTAAAGAAGTTATAGTGTTGCGAGGCCCCAACTTGTCAGCAACAATGGTAGTGACTGCTATGAACTGTAAATTACACAAACTCGTAAGAAGGGTTTAAATCCCTTTTTATTCCACTTTAGAAATAACACTTGACGTTCACAAACTACGCCTACTCGGCGGTTTAACAAAACAGAAATGTGAAACTAAAAATAAATGACAGGATGAATAAATAACGAGATCACTACCTACGAGGCTCTAAAATCGTAACTAACTTAACCGCGTTCTAAGATACAGCTGAGATTCAGCAAGCTTACTGATTAAGCAGTTGAAGATTCAACGAACTGCCGAAATAGGCACACAGGCCGAAACGCGCGGTAAATTTCTACCTAGCAACCTTCACGCTAGCGATTCAAGAAGCACACATACAATCTCGTTTCCCTTCTATTTAAACTCAACTTACTTCTGCTAAAATTTGAATATACTGCGCGTTCTACTACAATTTACGTAATCTGACATTGGCAATTCCAGGGGAAAGTAAAGGCTTGACAGGAAAGATAGCTTAAAATAAATGCTAGTTAAAATAAATATAAACCCTACAAAGTAATTTCCATTTCTTTTTCCAAACAATCTTCACTGTGTTAAGTTCCATCAGGATAAAGCTCCAAACCATACCACTAAATCTACTGCTCTATTTTTTTGCAAAAATGAGAAATGAAATCGGAATTGAAGCTATTCCCCTTAAATGTATCCCACCCAAGTCCCCTGATGTGTTTCCTATGGATTACTCTGCATTTTGACTTTTAAAGCAAGCTCTTTATAAGCGGCATCCCAAAACATTTGATGGACTCTGCAAGATTTTGAAGGAGGAGTGGAATAATTTTTTTTATAACATTTGACGGGCACTTGTTTATAACGCCAGTCGCCACTTCTAAGACCAGAAGTAGTGGACATTTTATTGTGGAGGCACCTAATAGGCGGCCATCGTTACCTCCTATGAAGGGACCGACAATTTTACATCCATGTCTTCTCCGGTATTCGAACCCTGCCCTTTGGTATCGCAGTCAGGCTTCCCTAACCAATATACAGTCTGGGCGGCGAGTGGAATAAAATCAACGTTGATGTTTTAAGAAAAGGACTTTTACCTTGGAAATAAAGATATAATATAATCTTTCAACAAAAGGGCTATCAGACTGAACATATTAGAAAATAAAATTCTAAGATTTGTTTATATATAAATCTTTGCAAAATTGTTACAAAAATGTGTGAATACCCTCTGTACTGGCTGCAGTCGTTGTGGAGTAAACAGAAAGTTCGAAATAATCTGCTTATAAAACTATATTGCCAAATTTTGCCATTTATAGGATAAATGGATGTTTATAGCATGTTCTATACATTAATAAAAATAATTCGGAATAGCATTTTATAAGAAAGATCTCGACATCATTTGCGAAACGAACTACGCTGAAGTTCTCTCGGACGGGTCGAAACACACTAGTCTCTCATATTCAACAAAATGACTAAATTATTAATAGATGGTTTCAAAGTTTGGAATTCTTCATTCAGAAAAATTAATCATGTAAGGTGTAGAGTGTGCAAATGTAATTAACTTTAAAACGAAGAAAAAAAGCTCCAATTCCTTTCATGTAGTTATCAGGAGTATTGCAGAAACTTTCAAAAAGCATCATGACAGAGGTCTCTAATCTAGGAGACAAAATTGTCTTAAAAATCGTGCCATTCAAATTTCATCGTAGGAAAGAGCAGCTGAATTGGGCATTCAATTACATAAAAATGGACTAAAGATCAAGGAAACTCTGTAATTTTTCACAGATTCAAAGCATAGGCATTATTTGTGATGAAGAGAATCAGGTGCCATCCTTTGGCAAAATAACGTACCTGAAATAACGTACGGTAAATATTTTCATTGGCTTTTCTTTAGGTAGTTGTAAAATAAATATATTGCCTCTGTTGTTGCAAATAGGAGCAAACACATTAGTTTTCATAAATTAAGGATTAATCCAAAAAACTATTCAAGGCAGTGCATAATTTAGTTTGACGAAATTTAATTAATAGTTATAATGAATAATAATATTAATAATTAATATTAAAAATTAGTATGAATAATTAATCATAAATTAAAATATGAATCATATTATGAGTTTTATTGCGAAACAATTTTTATACCAGGAATATTTTTCATTGAATACTTATCTCATAAACTTTCTTCCACCCAAAAAATGTGACAGTGCAAAGGGAGGAAAATTCAATTAAGAGTCCCCTTACAGCAATCTAGAACCAATACTGGTGTTCCATACTGTTGATGATATGAGTTAACTCTATAGCGAAGGTTATTTCTAGCAGATATAAATTCTCCACTGGGTATTGTATGGAAATTTTATCACAGACACATGTCCTCCACACGTGCTTAATCTGATTTAGGACAAGAAAGAGAGTAGATCAATCTATTCTTTTGAAGTAGCTGTAAACTCTTCGTTGTGCGGGCTGATGTTTAGGAATAAAGCATACCTCCCAGAAGAGTCTCATACATGCCGAATTTAATTTAGATTAAGAAAAAAATGTTCAAGTCATTAGTACAGCAGTCTCTATTTGAAATTATTGTTTCCCCAATCGAAACTGGTGTGAAAGACAGCTGTCTTGTAACACGAATGTTTTACTTATATAGATAATCTGAATAAAAACTCTTATAGGTCTATGATATCCTTCCTGTATTTTCGATTCTGGAGGTTCTCTTTTATTCACATCTGCAAGCAGAAGATATCGTCCACTCAAGAATGCCACTCCAAATGCGCATATAATTATTATCTTAGTAATATCTTTGAGCTATGTGTTTGAGATTATAACAGTACCCGATTCCCTCCAAATCGAATAACATCCGATGATACTCTGTAGACATTATCTGAACCCAATCTTCGAAGATTAGATCTCCGTTTATCTTCAGTCACTTTCACACAATTGCATGCTCCCGTGATACAAGATGAGGGGTTCATAAATTATTGGTAACCTAAACTAGAGAACTCCATCATAAGGCTTTCTACACTCAATAATAGTTGTCCCACTTGTTGATTCGAAGAGAAATCGCACTCCTAGTTTATCCAGTTAAATGAATTGCTACATTCTAGACTAACATTTATTGATATAATAATCCTAAACTATCTGCATAACTAAATTTTTCCAGTTTTCTGAATGTTTTTTATTAATTAATAGAAGCTAACGTACCAATACAATAAAAATTTGTTCCTCTTGAAACATTTCTTTCAGCATTTAGGTCTGCTCTAATCATAAGAGTTC